CCTCCCTCTCATCGACCGCTGCTGAAACTCTGATCCATGCCTTCATAACATCCCGACTGGATTACTGCAGCAGCTTTTTGGATCACCTGCATTCACACTAAAGAAACTTCAATATGTCCAAAACTCAGCTGCCCGCTTGCTCACCTCCACCTGACGCTCTGACCACATCACCCCTATCCTCCATGACCTCCACTGGCTCCCCATCAAACACCGCATTGACTTTCAAATATTACTTTTCACTTTCAAAGCCCTCAACAACCTTGCCCCCCCCCTACCTCTGTGACCTCATCCAACGACACACCCCCACCCGTCGCCTCAGGTCTGCTGAAGCTAACCTACTGCAGCCCATCAGGACAAAGCTCCGGACCTGGGGTGACAGGGCCTTCGCAGCAGTCCCCCCCCCCCTCACTCTGGAACCCCCTCCCCAGCCACGTCAGATCCGCCAACACTACTTCAAACAATCCCTCAAAACTCACCTTTTCACTCTTACCTTCAACTCCTAATTATTCCACCTAGCTTAGCACTTTTTACTTTTGTTGTTATTTTGTTTTACTTGCTTGTAAGCGCTTTGAGCACCAGGAAAAGCACTTTATAAATGTAATGTATTATTATTATTATATCAGTATCTGTGTAAGAAATAGTTTGGGTCATGTGTAATAATAATATATTGAAGCTAACAGTGTTTCTATTGCTTCTTTGTGACTCTGTTCAGGTGGACAGGGAGTACCGGGTGCAGAAGGCTCTGTTCTCCGCAGGGTTCCCCGTTCCTCAGCCTCTCCTGCTCTGCACTGACGCTGAAATCATCGGAACAGAGTTCTACTTAATGGAGCACGTGAAAGTACGTTTGTCTCACTAAGACGGTGTCCAGTATGTATTGCTGTTTGGTTGGCCTTTGCCCTATATTGGTATGATGAAAGATGGAGTTTGGACCTGTGCTTACCCGCTGGTTGACATGCACAGGCTGCTAAAACGTGACCACCATGTGAACATGCATATTGTCTTTCTTTCTTTTGATCAGGGCCGTATATTCAGGGATCTCCGTCTCCCTGGAGTGAGTGCAGCAGAGAGGACAGCTCTATATGTGGCTGCAGTGGAAGCGTTGGCAAAGCTCCACTCACTGGACCTGGCATCCCTGAACCTGGAGGGGTTTGGAAAAGGAGCCGGATACTGCAAGAGACAAGTGAGCACAGCGCCATTAATTAAAATAAATGTATGAGTCATCTCAGAACATGGAGTTGACATTAAAAATCTGTCTCTAAAGGTTTCAACATGGACGAAGCAGTACACAGCCGCCGCCCACAGGGACATCCCAGCCATGAACGAGCTCTCTGATTGGTTGAGGAAGAATCTGCCGGCCAATGACAACGAGGTCACGCTGGTCCACGGAGATTTCCGATTGGACAATTTGATATTCCATCCAACAGAGGTAAGTAGTTTAAAAACTCTTATCTTTCTCTTTGATGTGACTGTAATGCTAAGTGCGTTTTGATCAATACAAATAAATGAAGCTTTATTTGTAAAGCACTTTTAATACACAACGACAGCTCAAGCGCACACATCTATTTATTTAGATTCATAAGATTTCAAGGAGTTGAAAGAAGCAAGAGAAATACAAAACAATATATAGTAATAATCCAAAAATTCACAAAATAATTGTCTTGTGTTTTTCTAAAGGTTAAAAAGACACAAGACAAAATGATTAAATACAATCAAATTAAAAGCTAATCTCAAAAGACATGTTTCAGCAGTAGCTTAAAGATATCCACTTATATATTTCCTGGTATGTTGCTCCACTGTTTGTACTGGACGAAAGCTGCTTCACCCATCTTATTCTTTGGGGTTATCTCCTGTCATCAGGCCCGTGTGATGGCCGTGTTGGACTGGGAGCTGTCCACCACCGGGCAGCCTCTGGCAGACCTGGCCTACTTCCTGATGCCTCACTACTGGCCCTCCAGCATGAACATCATCAGCACGCTGGGCAGCTTGAAAGGAATAGAAGGTAAGGAAAGAACAACCCCAAACAGTGTGAGGAATATGGGAAACGACTCAAATAAATGGATCAAACTGGGATCAAACATTTTGTGCAGGTATCCCAAATGTGGCCGACCTGATCTCCATTTATTGCCGCTGCCGAGGGATCCCTTCTTCTTTGCCAGAGTTGAATTTCTACCTGGCCTTGTCGGTGTTTAAAATGGCAGGAATCGCCCAGGTTCGTACCCGTTTATATTCTCCTGCAAGGGTTTCTTATAACAGTAATGCAACCTGATATCCATTACTTTTGGATTACCTCAATATCGAATGCAATCTGAATAAAGACAAGTGAACAGACATATCAATATGACGCTCCGTTTCAGTTTAACACACACAGTGAAGCTCACACACACTGTTTTATGAACATATAGGTTCACCTGCTGAATTAAAAACAGAACACATGAAGCAAGAGAGTGAAAACCATGGAAGCAGACTCAGGAAGTAGAAATTAGATTCACACTGAAAGTATTATCCTACAGATCAGAACAGCTGACAGAGAAGAGATAAAATCTGATGCTTTACAACAAACACATATGCTGTTTTATATTTTTAATAACACTGTAATCTGCCAGGCCTCCCATTCTTTAAAGAAATGTAACAGAAATGTAATTTGTTCCTTTATTCCCATGTTTCTCTCAGGGGCATCTATGCACGCACCTACTGGGCA